TCCCCTGTGTAACTTCGATGTCAGCCATTGGCAGCTCATGCGTGACACCTGCCGCTTGCTCAGGCCCTTTGAGGAGGCCACGCTATTCGTGAGTCGGCAGGACTATGGGATGAACGACGTCATTCCTCTGTTGCACGTCCTGGAACAAATGCTGTTAACAATGGCTGGTCAGGGTGCGGTAGACGTGGCGCACAGATCTCAACGCCACATGACCCCTGTGGGGGCAGGACAGGAAGAAGAGGAGGAGGTAGAGGAGGACATTTGTGCTCAGGAATTATTGAGTGAAATGGGTGGTTTTTCCACTCAGCGGACAGGAGTGGAGGAGCAGGAGCATCTGGTAGAGGAGGAGGAGGAGGAGACAGAGGACCCAGACGCACCGTGGCAGTATGCTGTGGAGATGGAGGCAGGGAGACCCTCGCATTCCTTGGCACAAATGGCCCATAGCATGCATGCTCGGTTGCTTGCGTAGCGACAGCCGAATAATAACCATCAGACAGAGGGATGACTTTTTGGCTGTCCACCTTGTTGGACCCTCGCTACCGTTCAAAAATGGTGGCCTTTTTCACACCTGCTGAGAGGGAGGCCAAAATAACGTACTATAAAAACCACCTATGTAGTCAGTTGGTCTCTGCCTTTGTGCGCCAACGTCCATCCTCAGACACTGTGGGCCCTGTGCGCTCGCGTTCCGCTGCCATGGCAGCAGGGGAGGGGTGGGGTGGTAGGAGCAGTGGTAGCTCCACCAGCAGCGGCTGCCTCAGTCTGCAGTCGATGATGAGTAGCTTTCTTCACCAGCGCAGTGAGGAAACTACTAACCAGCCGCAGCAGCAGCAGCATCATCAGGTGGACCTGGGAGCAGGACCTCAAACAACAGGCTTGGGCCTACTTGGACAGCACCCTGCCAACCGAGGTAGACAATCCCCTTGACTACTGGGCAACGAAACTTGACCTTTGGCCCCAACTAGCTGAATTTGCCCTTGAAAGGCTGTCATGCCCGGCCAGTAGCGTGGCATCGGAGCGCGTGTTTAGTGCGGCAGGAGGTATTGTAACTCCGCGGAGGACACGACTGTCCACCCAAAGTGTGGAGAGACTCACGTTTGTGAAAATGAATCAGGCGTGGATTAGTCTGGATTTCAAACCACCAGTTCCTGACACAACTGACTAAATCCGCCATGAATCATGCCCCTGCAAACATGTGCCACTTTCAGGTCTCCTCACACTGCTGGTGTGTTCCATTTTTTGTCATAGGGTGCTGGCAGATTACGGGCCTCCCATAGCTGCTGCCAGGCCCCTAATCTGCCATGGGCCCCTATACCGCCTCCTCATGCTGCTGCCAGTCCAGAGTCTCTCATGGGTCCCTGTACGGCCTCCCATTGCTGCTGTCTCCATCGCCACACTCTGCCATGTGCCACTTTCAGTCTCTCCTCACACACTGCTGGTGTGTTGAATTTTTTGACATAGGGTGCTGGCAGATTACGGGCCTCCCATAGCTGCTGCCAGGCCCCTAATCTGCCATGGGCCCCTATACCGCCTCCTCATGCTGCTGCCAGGTCCAGAGTCTGTCATGGGTCCCTGTACGGCCTCCCATTGCTGCTGTCTCCATCGCCACACTCTGCCATGTGCCACTTTCAGGTCTCCTCACACACTGCTGGTGTGTTCCATTTTTTGTCATAGGGTGCTGGCAGATTACGGGCCTCCCATAGCTGCTGCCAGGCCCCTAATCTGCCATGGGCCCCTATACTGCCTCCTCCTCATGCTGCTGCCAAGTCCAGAGAGTCTCTCATGGGTCCCTGTACGGCCTCCCATTGCTGCTGTTCCATCGCCACACTCTGCCATGTGCCACTTTCAGGTCTCCTCACACATTTTGACATACTGCTGGTGTGTTCAATTTTTTGACATAGGGTGCTGGCAGATTACGGGCCTCCCATAGCTGCTGCCAGGCCCCTAATCTGCCATGGGCCCCTGTACCGCCTCCTCATGCTGCTGCCAGGTCCACAGTGTCTCATGCCATGTGCCACTTTCAGGTCTCCTCACACTGCTGGTGTGTTGAATTTTTTGACATAGGGTGCTGGCAGATTACGGGCCTCCCATAGCTGCTGCCAGGCCCCTAATCTGCCATGGCCCCTATACCGCCCTCCTCATGCTGCTGCCAGGTCCAGAGTCTCTCATGGGTCCCTGTACGGCCTCCCATTGCTGCTGTCTCCATCGCCACACACTCTGCCATGTGCCACTTTCAGGTCTCCTCCTCACACTGCTGGTGTTCCATTTTTTGTCATAGGGTGCTGGCAGATTACGGGCCTCCCATAGCTGCTGCCAGGCCCCTAATCTGCCATGGGCCCCTGTACCGCCTCCTCATGCTGCTGCCAAGGTCACAGAGTCTCTCATAGGGGCCCTGTACGGCCTCCCATAGCTGCTGTCCCCATCGCCACACTCTGCCCCATGTGCCACTTATCAGGTCTCCTCACACTCCATGCTCTGCCATGTGCCACTTTGTTCCATTTTTTTTGTCATAGGGTGCTGGCAGATTACGGGCCTCCCATAGCTGCTGCCAGGCCCCTAATCTGCCATGGGCCCCTATATACCGCCTCCTCATGCTGCTGCCAAGGTCCAGAGTCTCTCATGGGTCCCTGTACGGCCTCCCATTGCTGCTGTCTCCATCGCCACACTCTGCCATGTGCCACTTTCAGGTCTCCTCACACTGCTGGTGTGTTCCATTTTTTGTCATAGGGTGCTGGCAGATTACCGGCCTCCCATAGCTGCTGCCAGGCCCCTAATCTGCCATGGGCCCCCGTACTGACTCCTCATGCTGCTGCCAGGCCCGTAATCTGTCATGGGCCCCTGTTGTCGCTTGTTGGCATATTCCGCTCGTTCACATGCTCCTTCTCCTGCTACTCCTCTTCACGGATTCCGTCAGCAGTCTTTCTTGGAATCCGTTTCCAAGAGACAACAGTTTGCGAGCACACACCCGATGGTGCAGAAGCTGAACGTCCTCCTGTCCAAGTTGCTGCTGCCAGGTTCGTAATCTGTCCATGCGCCCCTGTACCGCCTCCTCATGCTGCTGCCAGGTCCAGAGTGTGTCATGGGCCCCCGTACCGACTCCTCATGCTGCTGCCAGGCCCGTAATCTGTCATGGGCCCCTGTACCGCCTCCCCATGCTGCTGCCAGGTCCAGAGTGTGTCATGAGTCCCTGTACGGCCTCCCATTGCTGCTGCCAGGCCCGTAATCTGCCATGGGCCCCCGTTCCAACTCCTCATGCTGCTGCAGGCCCGTAATCTGTCATGGGCCCCTGTACCGCCTCCTCATGCTGCTGCCAGGTCCAGAGTGTGTCATGGGTCCCTGTACGGCCTCCCATTGCTGCTGTCTCCATCGCCACACTCTGCCATGTGCCACTTTCAGGTCTCCTCACACTGCTGGTGGTTTCCATTTTTGTCATAGGGTGCTGTATGGCCTCCCATTGCTGCTGCCTCCACCGCCACACTGTGGCTCCACACTCTGGTTTTGGCCCCGTGACTGCCCAAATGAGTGAAGTGTGCGGTGATTCTAAGATCGACGGCACTCATCTGCATGTCATACTGACTGTCAGTATTATTTCTCTTCCCCAGCAGACTCCAAGGGCATTTAAATTAAAGGTACAGTGTTCTGCACTAATATAAAGTCTCTCTGAAGCCTAGAAACACCCTTTTATAAGTTAAATTTGCAGCGAATATATTCGACTCGAATCGAAATTTTTCCACGAATTCGCCGAATCAGTCGAATCGAATTTTTGAATACTTCGCTCATCTCTAAATATAATAATAATAAATTTAATTTAATAATATAATCAAACCAAAAACACTTAAATTTGAAATAGAGCGCCAAGTTCGCACATCGCTGAGCAAAGTCGCAAAATCGTTTTCATTGTTTGATGACGAATTTCCCCACGAATCATTATCACTCAATTCTGCAAGTGGTTCTGATTTACTATCGCTGTTCTCTAGCTGGTCTAAAACCGCTTTTGACCTAAAGGGACGCTTTTTGGACGCCATGGACATTTCTCAGTTTCCAGGCAATAAGAACAGTAAAAATGCAGGCAGATCACAGGACAAAGCACTCGGGACAAAATGTATGTGAAATGGTTTGATACAGTAATGTTTTACTATGTGATTTTAGTGAATGTCACTTTTTGTCATTTTTGAATTTCCCGCCGTTCCGTCCCCCGTACGTCCCGACGCTCACAGGGGACGGAACTCAGATGACAGATGCCGGCATCCGCCGGATTACATTGTCGGGGACACTGCAGGAGGGACATCGTGGGAGCGCAGGACAAGGTAAGTGATACAGGGATCCCAGAGCAGCGCCGCATGGTATTCCCGAGTGTAGCTCGGGGTTATCGCTTGTGGTACTGAAACCTTACCCCGAGCTACACTCGGGAATACCGCCAGGGAGGTTAAGTACTTTTCACTTTTATTCTCACTTATTTTGCTGTTGCCTATTGTCTATTTTGTAATAATTTTTTCTGGTAAATATTTTTCTTGCACTGTTTTTCTTGCCTTTTCATTAAATGATAATTAAAATTTGTTAAGATTTATCTCTAAATACTCAATAATCCAGAGTTTAAAAAATGCTTGCATCTAAAATATATGTAGTGGAAATGAAAACTTTTAATTACCCTCATCCTTTTTCTGATATCCCTGGGGTTTAGCATAGTATTCTAAGAATTTGATTACAATATCACTTTTTTATCTGTAATTTTGAAAAAAATGTTTTTGCTATCTGTAACTGACATATTTATTTACAAATGTTACAATGCTACACATTTAAGAAATGTTACATATAGTCATTATTTTGTCAGAAATAAAACTTACAATTTTATTCAACTTACTTTATTCACTGTTTGCTTTTTTATTAGTATGAATACCTGTTTGCCAGATGCCATATTGAAACCTGAGTTTTACGTTGTCGCCTTTCATGTTACTGGATATTTATGTTACATCACGTTTGTTGGAGTGTTTTTGTTGTTTTTAATGGCAATATGTGGAAACCTACTAATCACTGTTCTGATATGGCTTGTCCTTCATCTCCACACTCCCATGTACTTTTTTCTTTGTAATCTATCAGTTCAGGATATTGTGCATGTGTCAGCCATACTCCCGAAATTAATCTCAATTGTATCAACAGGAAACCACAATATTTCTTTTGCAGGTTGCTTAACACAAATATTTATGCTTGACTTCTGCTTAAATACAAACTTTTTACTTCTTACATCCATGGCCTATGATCGTTATGTGGCCATATGCATTCCTCTTCAATATTTTTTTTATTATGAACATGAAAAAATGCTCCATATTGGCTTTATCTTGTTGGGTTATTAGTGCTTTAAATGCAGTAATGCACTCTTGTTTGATGTCACAGTTATCATTCTGCCATATTAAAGCCATCAACCATTTCTTTTGTGATGTAAGAGCCATGGTAAAGTTGTCCTCTAGTGATACAATGCATATAAAAGCACTAATATTTGCTGAAGGTGTGCTTTTCTGTTTTATTCCCTTTGTACTCATATTAATTTCCTATATGCATATCGTATTTACCATCTGTAAGATTCATGGAACAGCAGGAAGACTCAAGACCTTCTCCAGCTGCTCCTCACATATTATTACTGTATTCCTTTTCTGTGGAGCATCTCTCAGCCAGTACATGAAACCAGAGTCTAAGCAGTCTGAGGAGCAGGACAAGTTGTTGTCTTTGCTCTATGTTGCTGTGGTCCCTATGCTAAACCCTTTGGTTTACAGTCTGAGAAACAAAGATGTTTTGCAAGCCATGAAAATATTGATCATCTCTAATTTGATTTAAAAATCTTCAAAAGTAATGTCAAAAGCTACTATATTTGTTCGAAGCAACATGGTAGGAAAAAAGAAAGCAATGTGTTTTGTTTCCTTTATTGGGGTTCCAAAAAGTGAATGATGTTTGGTAATAATTAGTTAAAGCAATGACTAGTTAAAGTGGATACAAACACAAAATCAATTTTAAGCATGTTTTGTATCGTGCCTTACAGTATACCTCCTTATTAATCATATAATTATTTGTGAATCTGCCACACAGTTTCCTACCCGGAGATACTGCCTGTAACAGCACTTTCAGGAGATGAAAAAAAAAAAAAAATTTATAAATAATAATCCTTAATAATAATCCACAAGATGAAAAATAATAAATACTTGGGATTTGATTTACTAAAACTGGAGAGTGTAAAATTTGGTGCAGCTCTGCACAGAAACCAATCAGCTTCCAGGTTTTTATTTTCAAACCTTAATTGAACAAGCTGAATTTTGAAGCTGATTGGCTACCATGCACAGCTGCACCAGATTTTGCACTCTCCAGTTTTAGTAAATCAACCCCATAAGCTCTACTTTGCAGTTAGCAGCAACATTGTAAGCCTGCTGTGTGTACTTCTTCAATGGGATAATGAAAGCACACACATGGAAGGCTGGCAAAGCTTATGATATTTGCGACGCAGCGGCTTAGCGAAGCCTAACCAAAACATTGCATGCTCTTACTGTCAAGACTTATAAGTAACACATTTCGCCACATTTTCGCAAAAAAAAAAAAAGATATGCTTCAGAGGTCTGTGTAAAGTGAAACATAGTACCATACATACTAAAAAATAAATTTGGGTTTACATATACTTTAAATGATAGGCAATCCATGCATTTCAAAAATGTATCTATGAATGTGCATAAGTAGTTACATAGTACGTAGGGATGGGCTTTATGTTCACCGAACCCACAAACTGTAAAGGCATTCAGCGGGCTGTTCGCTCACCGTGCCCCACAATGCACAGCGCTCTCACAGTGCATTGTGATTGGCCAAAGCAATGCACCTGTAAGATGCAATGCTTTGGCCAATCACTGCACAATTGGGAGGAGCTAGCAGTGACGTCACTCAATTGTTTACATCTGACTGGCAAATATCAGATTGCGGCGAGTGCTCGGAGGGTGCGAAAGGGTCAGCGGACGTTGTTTTTTTTTTTATTTCGGTGATTCGATGGCATCGTGACAACACTGGACACCATGATTGACAATAGATTGAAAGGTTGGAACCATTTTTTGGCTTTTTTGTTTTTAAATAAAGAACTTAGAAAAAACTGCTGTTTTGTTTTTTTGTTCAATAATGGAATTTTTCAAAAGTCTGGCATCTTTATTCTTTACTAAATTTATCCCTTTAGTGAATAGGTAGGGTATAGGTACCCCTTACTCATTCTTATTTAAAGGGGTACTCTGATGCCTCATAAGCTCCCCTGCCCGCAGACCCCCAAAACCACCGGGCCATGGTTGTCCCCCCTTTCCTGGCCTACTAGGCCTGTGCTCAGATCAAGGGTCTGGTAGGAATTTAGGGGGGACCCAATGCTTTTTTCCCCCATTTTCGCGGGGTGGGGTTCCCTTTAAAAGTCCTACCAGGCCTAAAGGGCATGGTATGGCTTTTAGGGGGAGCCCCATGCACTTTTTAAAAACACATTTTTACTGTGGGGTCCCTCCTATCCTTTCTACCAGACATAAAGGGTCTGGTATGGATTAAAGGGGAGCCCCACACTTTTTTTTTAAATAAAAATGTCATTTTAAAAAAACTTCAGTCCTGCTGCAGCAGGTTCCATACATTGTACAGATGTGCAATTTTGCAGGTAGTTTAAGAGGACACACCAGGCAAAAGGCAAATCTTTTTTTTTTTAAATTTAAGCAATGAAAAGTGACTGCCCCTTTAAAAACTGTACTTTTTGAATTTTTTTTTTTCACTGATTCATGTCCCTCAGGGCAGTACCCGAGTCCCCATACCTCTTTTATGGTCAATAACTTGCATATAAGCCTTAAAAATGGGCAATCTTGAAATTATAATTTCCATTTATGAGTCCCATAGACTTGCATTGAGTTCGAAGTTCACGGTTGAACATGCATTAGGTTCGAATATTTGACTGAGTACTGAACACGGGGGTGTTCGGCCCATCACTATTGGTAAGGTTAAATAAAGACAACAGTCCATGCAGTTTAACCTGAGTGTGCGGGACTTTCCATATCCCTGTACATTGTGCTCACAAAGAAACACACCTAAATGTTTTTTTTTTCAAAGTTGTCTACACTTGGCACCACCAACTGTGGAAGGGAGTTCCATATCCCTATTGCTCTAACAGTAAAGAACATGTAAATGGTTTAAAAGCAGCACTAAATATTGTGTTACTAAAATATATGAAATCAAATTCTCATCTATTCAGAATGTCACGAAAAGCTAATTAAGATAAAACTACAACTATACTATATTTCCAAATTGAAACATGATTAATTAGTATAATGCATGTGCAAACATATAAACAAATGTGCAGGTGCCTGAAAAGATGATTGTCTTTGCAGTGAAAAGAAAAAAGCAAATCAGATCAATACAATAAACATGCATACATATAAATGCATGTGCAAACAAAAAAGTCCACATAAAGTTCTTAGATGCACCTTCCATAGGTGCCTAAGTACACAATTCACAAGTCCTAGTGAGAATGTTATTTCAGCAATTGAACAATCCACATGACAGTCCTAAACAGTGCAGTGGAACCTACACATGGATTGCAGAGAAACATAATATAAAAGGCTTACCAGAATGTCATGGCCCCAAATTAAAGAGCGGTCATAACAGGCATAGAGAGTATATCAGCAACCTGTCCAAGAAAATCACCAAGTTACCATATGACGTTCCAACTCAGCATGGTAACATGAATATAAACACAGGAGAAGAAATGCCCACAATAGTTTAACTCCAGCAACAAATGTTTATTAAATACTGCATTAAAAAACTCATATTATAAATAAAAATAGTGCTTATCTGTATAGAAATTGGGGCTTCGATCAGCAATACAAGCTTGCGTGATGATGTCAGTGCATTTGGCTCTACCCTACATGTTTCTGAGCCCCTGCGGACATTAATCTGTGATGAAATGCATAGGATGGAGACAAACACTCTGATGTCATGGGAGAATATGTCCTAGTCTGTCTGACCAAGACTTGGTAGCAGTATTGGAGCCAGATGGTGGTATAGGCCACAGAAGAGACACAGAGAGACTTGAGGCATTATGGAGAGGCAAAGGATATTGCAGAGACTGGATCTACAATGACACTGAAGGGAATGGAGTTTGCATGCCTGCTCATGGGAGGTGACAGCCCTTAGGAGGGCCAAGGTGCAAGCCCTAAGGAGCTACTTGGTCTTTGCCAGAGTCTTTCCCAAAGGGTGATGGGTTTTGCTGCTGCCCTCAGCCACGCCCAATCAGGCAGCTGCCAGAGACTGAGAGTACAGATAGACAGGAATAAGCCTCTTGCAGCAATAAGGTACTGGGTTCACTAGAAGCAATACTAAAAAGTGTCTTGTAGCATTGAGATATTGGGCTCAAAGGAAATGTCTGAAGAGCACAGGAGGCAGACATATGGAGACTGGATACACTCTGGAGTGCTCAGAGAATCACATTGGTTCTAGCAACAAGTTGCTTGCAGGAACACACAGGGATGTAGGCAGCTGTCTGGTATAGGACACTATCAACAGCTATTTTGCAAACAGTATACAGCATGAACCTGGGTTATATTAGCCTTTACTTCCACTTTAATTTATTTATACATGGAAAATGTTTTCAAAATAGTTCTATCATTTCAGTTGGTTTAAAATGTTAAATGATTGTTTAGATGTCTACCAAAACAGGATCTTTGTAAAACAATAAGATTAACACTTGTTAAAATTGGTTGAAGATTTTTGTTTATTGTCAAATTAGAAGAGTGCATAGGGATATCAACTCAAAGTATCTCACCATTTGCTGAGATGAGCATACTTAGGGCAAAAGTTAAAGGTGTTTTACCACCTTCCTGTTTTTACTGTATATGTGACTGATTGGATCTGATTGGATGGCTTAAAGGATAAGTTCACCTTTGGGAACATGTTATATGTTCCACCCATGTTTAGGGTGTACCTGATCATGGGTGCAATGATTTACAGACGCCATAAAAAATAAAATAAATGCACATTTTTCTTACCTACAAAAAAATTTGCATTTATTATATATGAATATATATATATATATATATATACAGTGGGGCAAAAAAGTATTTAGTCAGCCACCAATTGTGCAAGTTCTCCCACTTAAAAAGATGAGAGAGGCCTGTAATTGGCATCATAGGCAGACCTCA